TTGCAGGGGAAAGAATTTAACATTTTTTATGTCATGTTCATGCATTTTAATCAAGAAAGGCAGCAATGTGGAACCTGTGCCCAGCATGCTGGAAAAATAAACCAGGAGGAGCAGCAGGTGTCCTTGTAGCTCGCTCTGTCTTTTTACCAACCTGAAATGTATATTATATGTTGAGACCACAAAGAACATTATAGTCTATACTACAAAAAATTCTATAGAAATACTAAGACAAATTAGTTAACATGGACTATAAACATATAAGATATGCTATAAAATATCAGCCAGCTGTCGTGGAAGTTTGTGGAATCAGATCTCTAAGCTAAAGGGCAAAAGAACTTCATAGTATAACATATTATTATCCTGAGTTCCGGCATTAAACTGAACCCTGATATCCTGGAAGCAAGATGATGAAAGATAAAACATGGTTAAAATCTCAAAATGATGTACCTTATCGTAATCCCAAATATTCAACAGCCCATCCTCAGCAGAACTTCCAAAGACAGATGATTTATCTGGGGACCACTGAATAAAAACATATATGGACCAGTACGTATAATCAGTACATTTTACAACTAACAGCACGAGCATTTTCAAATAAAATTAGTAGTAATAAGACAAGAAGCAAATATAATCAAACTTAAAAAACAAAAAGAATACCTGAACACAAAGAACCGCTGCTTTGTGGCCCTCAAATTTATAGATGGGCGAGCCAACTCCATTAGAAGTGAGATTCCGACGATCAAACATGCGAATAGAATTATCGGCTGACCTAAAGAGAAATTTGTGCCGATGTAACCACGTATGTTTATAGTCATTACCTCAGAAATCTCATTCTCCTAAATCCTAAATCCTAAATGCACTACCGATAAAATGATGAGACCAAACCAAATGACACACAACAGCCTAACTAAAACAGGGCAAATAGTAGTAAGACCATTGTGCTATTTTAAGAAGCACAGACACTACAACACCTCATTTTCTAAAATCTAGGACAAGAACACAGCAACTGACTCGTTCATTAAAATATACATTCTTTAAAATGTCATTTTTATACCATAATGAATTTCGAAGTCAATGAGTTTATTCATTTATATGCTTAAAAATTAGTTTGATGTATTTTCTCTCAAGTTTATTAATTTTGTCATATGTGCAAATTCAGTATACTTAACAAGGGTTTGATTTTTTTCTAGCAAATGTTGGACCTACTTTAACTTTGTAGAACTAATGTTAATACATCTACTGCCCTAACAAGTGTTTAGTAGGTAACTAACAAGTGTTTAGTAGGTAACCAACAAGTGTTAGAATGTCCAAGTGTCTAACTCGTGTCAGACATGGACCTGCTGGCTAAACTAAAGTGTTTGTGCTTCTGAGATTCTGTTTATTATTTCTTCTCTCCTGTCTGTATATTTATTCTCTTTTTTGTATAAATATATGAGACCCAATTTTCCCATAAGCATTAGCAATTGAAAAGAAAATAAAACATTAAAATTTACCCTGTTATGATAAGATTATCATCATGGGGATTCCAATCAACACAATGAAGATCAGCATTGTGTGCCTTTTCGACCTGCAGACCAGAAAGAAAGACAGACTAAGATGAATAACAGAAGCACCTAAAATATGCACCCTGAGGATAAAAACATAAAAAGCAATATTAAATTATATGATATCAATTTTATCTTGCAGGATAAATCTCCTGCACAGAATACTTGGTATGAACAACGAAAAAAATCTCTACTACAAAACAACACCATGGAATTCTTGTCCTATCGACATAAGCCAGTATGTATAACAAATCAAAAAATATTTCTCATAATAGGAGAATGACGAGTTTCTAGTTTTGTCGAATTTATGCTCTATAACACTTATTTCAAATTCCACATTATACCACAAGGAGAGCCCCTTGTTACAGAGAACTAAACAAGAGAATTAAGACCTTGACAGCTGGGCTAGAGCCAGTACGGGCATCCCATAATATTAGGCAAGAGTCATCTCCTACACTGCAGAACTCCTGTGCACTTAAGAGGGAAAATAAAAGAAAAGGATGTTGTGGTTACGCTTGGAAAAGAAACAACTAAAAATTAGACTTTCATCCACTCAAGCGAAATAAATTTGGTGTAAATGAACACCAAGACACAAATTAAAATACTTTAAAATAGCATTATTTTTTGGGGAGGGTTAAGAAACAATTTCATTGATGGCATGAATTTACAAAAGAGGGGAAGACCCCCAATAGAGAGATTACAAAAGGCCTCTTCAACTAGGAAGCAGGGAAGTAAAGTTATAGTAGTGAAAAAGAGATCATTTACGCCCAGTCCCAACCAAATTAGTTATAACGTCAGGAAAATCTACTATACGTGAGTTCCTTACCTTGGAAGATTAAAAAATAGTACAATTTTATTACTATTTTCAGTTTTGTGAAGATAGTATACAGTAAAAATTATTCAATGATCGATAGTTTATTTGTAACATTAATCAAGAGCACTATGATCCAGAAACCAACCCTCATCCCCCACGCAAAACCCTACCCTTCAAAACCTCTCATCTTGGTCAAACCAAACTTCAGCTAGAAATCACCTGTACTATATAATAAACAAAATATATTTTAAATAAAAATGGTTTTAAATGCCCCATCCGCATGTCCATTTATCAATAATTCTCAAAATAAAAAACTGAATGACTAGTAATACAGAATTAAGATATTACTTGGATGGACAGAAGGTCACATCTTCAACAGTATCCTCATGGCCATGGTAAACTCCTCGTGGCCCAATAGAAGGACCATCAGAAGTTTTATCAGTTCCCTCTCCCGCCTTCTTTATGATAGATCCACCAGATCCTGGTGATTTTGAAACAGCAGGGTCTGTGGCAGAAGTTGTTATATGGTCCTGGATACTCCATAAAACAACTAACTTGTCCTTCCCTGCCCATAAGATGAAGTAACATCAGAGAAATAGAACCCCATTTGTAACACCCCAAACCATATGATAGAACAAAATCCCATACAGCAAAGAAATTGATAGGTATTGAAAAAAACAACAAAATAATTTGACATCTAAATCTGAAACAGTGCAAGAGTTGAGTAGAACTTTCCAGATTGAACCTAATTAGCAGGACCAACTTAAAGGAGAGAAAAAGATTGGAAAACATTCAACCTCCAGACAGGACATAAGGTTCAGTGGGGCACATAGCTAGAGCAAACTCGGCATTTTCTTGATGACCAGTCAGAATCTGCAAGTGAAGAGTAAGTTAACATAAAATTGCACAATGAACGCTTTAAACAAGCAAGGGATTTAGAATGTCCATGTTACAAACACCAGAAGAATTTATCTTTACATGGTCCCAGGTTGAAAAATTGTTAAGATGTGTAAATGAGACCAAATAAGTTTTACACACTCATCGATGACCTACCATGGTCTTCCAATCGGACTGTGAACCCACCTCAGCTCTAGATAATGATTTTGTAAAATATCTCCTATAAGATTAAAACTATGAAATGCTTGAACCTTTTAAATTCACAAGAAAATAAATTAAGCAGCCTATTGTTCAACCATGACGCAACATTAACAGTACGAAAGTGAACTAAACTCAGTTGGGCATATCGAGATCTCAATAAGCATCTATAGCAGGATTAAACTTAACCTCAACCAGCCAAGCCCATAATCTACATCCAAGAGATTCAAGAATTTCTGACTCTCACGAAATCTAAGTACAGAAGAATTGAGTCATTCTCTCTTAAAACCAGATTCAAATTTAGTGCTTAAATGAGTGAGAAAAGAACGTTGTAAAAAGGACATCTTCCATCTTATCAGCTATTCTCGAAAGGCATTCTAATGATGCACGGCCCTAAAAAGAAAAATGACAACATTAGTTTTGCTTGAATGCAAGGCATACTTCAACATCAATGTTATGTATTCCACCGTGGTTGTAACCAGAAGGTAGATAGAGAAACATCAACTAGAAATATACACCAGAGATTTAAAATATAGCAACATTTATAGGAAAACAAAGATCGTGTAGGCAATTCAAGTTTTTAATAGAATTACCAAATCTGGGCGAGAATTTGTGGCACCAAGGACAGCATGACGGTTAGGTTGTGCCTCAACATCCCAAATGAGGACCTAGATGTTGAATACCAAAGAGACTTAAATCAATGTTTGTTGAATAAATGTACTGAAGGCATAAGATTTTCAAATGGATTAAAATAAGAACTAAAATTAATAGCACATACATCTGGACTGTCAGTGTGTGTGGCAACAATTCTAGAATTCTGGGGAAGTTCCCTAATTCTGTTAACCTGGGAAAATATTCAACATAGAACATTAGAAAGACAACAATTTTAAAACAACTCTTCATCTTCCATCACTTTCAACTTCCAACCAAACGGTAACAACTATCCAAAGAAAGAAATATAAATGTTCAAGACGAAGAAAGACCTTGAAACTCAAATGGGAAAAGAATAATAATGTAACCATAACCACATGAAAGCATGGAAAGAATGCCTGAAGATCAACCAGCTTATATGAATGTCATTGTAGATCATATTTTCATACATTTCATACCTCACCAGGGTGTATAATAGTCTTGTACTTCTTTACAAATGGTGAGCGTGCTTCTTCATTGAACTGAAAATAAAATAACAACATATGACACAAAGATTGAGTAGCACGAAAAAGGTCCACAGAACTTTAAACTTTGAAATTGACCAATCACCTGAGAAATGTGCTCTGCAGCTGCAACCCTCGGCTTCACAACTTCACAATTTGCAATGACCAGTGTATTCGGAACACTGCCATCAGTCTGGTAACAAGGAAGGAAGAAAAATAAACAATAAACAACAATTACAGATCGATCTTCAATGTGATAAATTCAGTACAAGCTAGTTTCTCCCCCGAAGGGAATTTTGGGTCGCAATTCAGTACAACTACAGCAAGAAATAAAACAACGTAGCCATTTCAACAAAACACAAGATTTTACTGCGACGGAAGTCACCTGTTCAGAAAGATAAAGCCGCTGTCGATTCTTATACGTTGCTTGCTCGAGCTGAGGACCCCACCTAGACCCAGAAAATAGTCAGACTCAGATCAAATAAACGCCATATAAAGAGCCCCGCCAAATAGCCATAGAGGTAGGGAGAAGGAATGTATCATACGAATAAGAAGCTCAAGTTTGCAGAAATGCGACAAATAGTAAGAAAAAAAAACCCTAAAAATTAACACGCGACAGATCCATTAATACAGTGGAGGTGATTTATCTCCAACGAACAAGAAGAAGCACAAGAAACACAAGTGAAAAAAACAGCAAACAGAAAACCCTAGAAACGAGAGAAGCAAGCAGAGTAGAGCAGATAGTTGAAAACAGAAGGAAGAGTAAGTGGAATACCGGCAAGAGAGAGAAGGCCAAACGAGATTGTGGTTAGCGAACCAGTCATAGAGAACAGGAACAAGAGACTTCCACTGAGTATAACGCTCATCGACGGAGGGCTGTTGGTGAGCCTTCATCTTCTTAGCTTGCTGCTCGTCCTTCTTCTCCTCCTTAGGCTTGGGCTTCCGGCCTCTGGTCTCCTTCTTCTTCACAACAGGCTGCTGCTGCTGCTGCTGCTGCTGTTGAAGCTGTTGCTGCTGCTGCGACTGAGGAGAATCCATAGCTCAAAGGAGCTTCGGTCCGCGATTTTTCAGTACGATACTTTTCGCGCTCTCTTTGACTCTCCAGACTCAAGGCGACCCCACCCAAGTATCCAAACCAGTTACATACAGTAAACCCAGACAAAAATATATTTTGGGTCCAATTTGGGAAATGATGATGATGATCCACCACCAACGGTTGACATTGGGACACGTGTCAAAATCTCGGTAGGTCCTCCTAATGCTGTGGCGCGTAGTGTTATTGCCATGAAATCGCGGCAGTAATATATTCTTTTTTAAGACGCGTTTGGTTGGGATCTTAATAGTATTTAATAACTAGATTGATTCGGTGATTGGAATCGTAAATGTTAGGTTGAGTTAAAATTAAATTCCGGTTCAATCTAAGTTTCGGTTCAATTTATAGATAAAACATCTTTTGTCGTGTACTCAACCAACATTTAACATTTATAACTAAAGAGTAACCGATAAACATTTGATATTTTAACTTTAATAAAATTTTAGTAAGAAACATTGACAACCCAACAGAAAGTAGAGAGCTAAGTTGGGTCGTAAATTTTTACAGATTCTCTTTCGAATTTTTTCGGGCCACCGATCCAACTAACCTAAAATTTTATATTTGTCCAAAAAAAAGATTTCCAACTAATCCAACGTAATGTACACTCCTAAAGTTTTGAATATTAATTTGACTAAGAATAATTAAAAAAACATCATTTTTATTTGAGTTTGGTTCGTGCATTCCAACTTGTATCGCTCTTAGATTTCATCTACACACAATTTAAGAGTTTTTTTTTACTTTTATTTGTTAGTTAAGTTATAAAAAATACATGAAGTTAGGTTTAATTTTACTTCAAAATTGGAAACATTTGGTTAAAACGAGGAAGACGTCAACAAGTATGATCACATTGGTTAAAATGAAACTTTTAAAATTCCAAATTTTTATAATTTAACCAAAAACAATCATGAAAAAAAAAACCCACAAAAAATATGAGTCAAAAGGATTGTGACTATGAACTTATGGGATCGAAGTCAATACCAAACTTGTTCGAATTTCGTATTATTGTAGAGAGCCATGATTCAATTTCGAGCAAAAAGCTGATTTCTTCAGCACTACCATTCTCAACTCTGCAAAATCCCTTCAACCACAATGCAGGTTTATGAGTATAACGCTCCATAAAAGGAAAAAAGAGACCACTGTTCATAGAAATAGTCCTGGCCCAGCATCATGATCATACATGTAAAACTGACTCCGCTAGATAAATATAATTCTCAACATGTGCTTCCAATAGGTCAGACATAAATACCAGAAGCAAGCAACAAGAACAAGGATCCAAATCCCTGCAACAGATAACAACGTAGAATCATAAATATACAACGTCAAGCTCCATGATCAAATCTAGCAATAATTAACGAGAAATATACAGCAATTGTCAATGTGAAAGTAAGGGCGTTCTTCTCCCACTGACATGATCGATGAAAAATTTTGCATTTAAAATAAAAGACGTCTACTGAAAGATTCATACCAAGAAAACGGAGGCAAATGATCCTGTAGTGAGTTCCTTGGCAAGACAACGGTTTTTCCTAGAAGATGTAGCTTCATAGCTGCAAATGATAATCGATGCGGTTAGAGCGACCCCAAACCATCGACTCCATAAGGGGACGACGGTTTGCTTGATCTATTAGAATGATACAAACAGTCATCTGGCTCCAACCTTACCAGCAAACCATGAAACTTGGTTGTATTATAGGCCATGACAATGAATATCAATACCCAATTTATCAAATTCAATAACTTTTTCCCAATATAGATATCAACTTAACAGAGAGATGTGACCATAATCTACATTAGAACATGTTTACAGTTGCAAATACACAAAGCAACAAACAACATATGTCACATACAGTCATCGCCGTCATGTCAATGGTGACCTTACTAATATTTTACATCAAAGAGTACCTATTATTGTGATTGTTAAGAATCCAAGTTTTCCTTGAGAAGTATGATAGAGAGTGGACTCTTCTTTATTGACGGTCAAATGGCTTTCTATCGCTGGACGGTATAAACATAGATTCGGATTAAGAAAATTAGTCCCGCCGTATGGTTGGATGAAAGCCTGAAACCTCCTAAAAGACATCTTTGAACCAAATGTATGAACATCAACGCATTCGGGCTTGGATTACATATGGTTTTCATTTTCGGAATAGATGATACAAAAAGAAAATGGTACTTGATTGGATCGACAAAATTCCGGACGTCCTCATTTTCCAAAAAAAAGATCACAAACTTTCTTGATAGCTAATAAACTTCTAAGCATTTCGTTGTAATCAAAGTGAATTAAGCAAGCATATGACAGAATTAGACAATCCTTAATCTAATTGTCTAGAACCTCTCATTTCACTCCGAATAATTAACATGAACCAGAATTCATTTTGCTACAGAGAAACGGATCCGATCGAACTTACATGAAAAACGAAGCGGTAATTACAAGTCCAACAGCGATCATCAGGACCGCAAGAGTCGGGTACCAGGCTTCGGGGACGGGACTCGTAACAGGTTTCGGAGCCTGCAAAAGAACGATCCACGAAATTACAAAATGCGAAATGACAGGGACAACGAAACCCAAAGGAATTGTTGCCATAGCAATTCGATCAGCACAGGCATCAAAATCACTCACCATCAAATCCGGTAGGGGCGAAGAAAATTGATTTCAGAAGAGATCTCTGGTTCTATCGATAGGAATTGTAAGCCTGAAGTCGCGCCAGACGCAAGGACTAGGGAGAATGAATGGAGTATCTTAGGGCTATTTTGCCGAAATGAAAAGCCTAATTTTGAATAAATTAAACCATAAATTACATATTTACCCTCTCAACTCTTAAAAAAATCTAATTAGCCCATAAAATTTTAATTACTCTAAATTCAAAATTAATATTTTATTACTTTTTTTAAAAATGGTTCAAAATATTTATGATTTATACTCATTAATTAAATAAAATCAACTATTTAAGAAAATTACATTATTAAGAAAAAATTGCATTTACTTTAAATTGACCAAAAGGTCCCTTTGAATTCATTTTTGTAAAAGTAAAGTATTTTGCTTCAACATTTGTATTGTATTCAAACATTACAACATCGACCCGTGATCAAATAGTTACATAACCTTCCGAATAAATAAATCAGGGTCGGAATCCGGGATCAAAGTTTTGAACCCATCTAGATTTTCGTTCTATATACATACAAACTTCTTTCACTATCTATATCGACATAAAAATTGTATTTGATTTTGGTATTTTCCTCCACTTATTCTTTTGTTAATTCAAACACTGTGGTAGTTTGATCCGAGATGTAAATCGACCAGCTTGAGTTTGTCGAGCTGCGTTTATGCATCTCGGGATGAACTATAATACGAGATATCTGTGTATGTAGTAAAACTAGAGAAATATATGAGGTATGAACGTTGAGCTTAGTTTCAAGCAACCTCGGTTGAAAGCTTCTTGTGTTATTAGGAAGTGGATCTCTTAACCAAAGAGATTCCCTGAGGATTACCACCCCATTCTTCAAAAATCACCAACAGATTCCCGCTCGGTTTCAACCATGCACGGGGAACGTGATACCTGAAATTTCGAAAGCTACGTCGTAAAAAAACACGCACAGATGATAGCCTCACAAAACAATAGATCAGTGTATAAGGGCCAACTCTTTTTACCATCTCTGTGAGGGTCCTCCACAGCCAGAATGACATTTCTTCTCAGTAAAGATTCCAGCATAGCTGCATTTGCCACAGCTACCTCGTGCGGTATACGCAGGCCAATGGCGCCCGATGCTCTGACCGTTAATCCACATTTGTCCTTTGCCCATGCTGCTCATATCTAAAGCTAATGGTTCGTTGCCTCCCGGGGTGTTGAAAGTCGTCTGCAGATTCGTTACACAACAGAAGTTTAGATCAGAAAAGTCCTTGTCCATAGAGAAGCTGCAGGAATTTAAGGATGTTCATTTGAACACTCACCTTGTACCATGTGAGGGGTTGTTTTTGAGACACCAATGAGCCTCTCACCCACTCAGCTGAGCTGCTTCCACTAACGGTATGAAGATTTAAGGATTCTCCTTTCAAGCCAACCTATTCAGGAATAATGGAAGTCAGATTCTCTAGCCAACCTATTAGTACTATTATCGTCGTCACGTAGAACGAACCGAAATGCATAACCGAAAGCGAAAGTGAGGGTACACTGGTTTCGTAGTGTACCTTGTAAGACCATTTATATCCGGACATGTCCCTCGTACCCTCGTTCAGACCCTTCAACGTGACGGGGCCTAAAACGCCAGCATTCCAAGTCTCAAAATGTAGGCCAACATTCTGACATCGAGCAAACGGGAGACGTGAGTCAAATTCGGAATCAACGATGATTTTAAAGAAACATGTGAAATCGGAAACTAACCGGGAGACCAACAGCAACACTCAACATAGAGAGCTTGTTAACTCCTGCTCTTAAGTTAACATATTTGCTGAATGTTAATTTGGGATTCTCCAATCCCCCATATACAGTTCCTACCATTCAGAATATATGTCATTACGATGTTTGAAAGATGTTTAAGGAAAAAAGAAAACGTGTTTGTTGTCGTGTACCAGATAGTTGGCCATTTATGAACACATGTAAAGCATGGCCTGCTGAAAAGATGGTGAGAAGAGGCCATTGTCCGCTCCTTAAGAAGCCTTCGTTCGAGTCGATCCTTATACTGAGAAAGATAAACACGAAGTCGAGTAAGATATGATTGATTTCTTCCTAACATTTTTCGATAAAATGGTCGACAAACGGCAAAAATTGGATAGGTGATGGAGTTCTTACTCTGTCATGTACCACAGATAATCTGTCGCATCCCTGGTGACACTGATTTGCTCCACTAACCCAGCCATGGTGGTTGTATCATCAGCATACGCAGAGGCTGTTTCTTCAGTGTATGATTGCCATGAAAATGAACTAACTGGAGTCATTTTAGGCTGTGAGTTTGGAGCATTGACCTGTAAAGAATTATCTCGACGTAAAAAAAAGATATCGAAACGATGAAGCCTTTAAAGGTTCATCTATATAGTTTTGAATCTTGTCTTACTTTTGCAGTGTTGAAAATGACAGATTTGCAGTCAGGAAGGATGCTGACGGACCAAGGTGGCAGGTCATATGGATTATTTCCGAACGTGACTCTTGCAGACGACGATGCGTCGTAGTTAGCTAGAAAAGCAGCACATGCCCCTGTTCTTGTCCTGTAGACATGAGCCTTATAAAAAAGAAGACAAATTAGACCGTCTTGCAATGAAGAATGCATCAGTAGTTACATAATCTTTCATCAGCTGGATCATGATTCTACCTCTTGATGGCTTCCTAACGACGACACGGTAGGATCTACCGATACTAAAGCGGGTTCGCACAGCTTGATGGCTTTGTGCAGATCTCTCAGATGACTCCATTTCGGTTCCCTTAATAGGCCTACCATATCCCAGAAAAGTTATTAGAGTAGTGATGAAAATATATGAAAGTTCTTTATGAGAATGTGATCTTGGAAGCTACTACTGCCACGAGCGTACCATATTCATCGATGGGAGCATCATAGTCGTAGCTAGTAGCAATGAAAGGCCCACCAGCCGTTCGGCCAAAGTTGGTTCCTCCATGATACTGACATGAGAGAAGATATTGAAGGAGTTAAGGATATGATATCATTTCCAACGATCAGCCAACCATTATGAAACACTCTGGATTGGTAATTACCATATAATAATTGATGAAAGAACCACGATTCTGTATGAATCTTGCAACGGAATAGGCTAAGTCTTCAACTGGCCTATAAGGAACTGGGCCACCAAACTCAGTGAACCTTGAATATTTCAAGAACAGGGAGCATGTCAATTCTGATCCTTTGAAACTCGGAAATGTTTAGTCATAATTTGGTGAATCCAGGCAGAATAAGTTATTTACCAGCCAGTCCAAGCTTCTGTCCACATTTTGGGTTTATAAACCTTGTTTGGTTCGAAGTTTTCGCAGTAAAATCCATTGCAGGTGTCGATCTGAAGCAGAACCAAGTAGATAGAAGCTTTAGAGAAGAGAATATAGAGGATGGAAGGAAAGTTTATGTTCAAGAATCTACTGATTTCTACAAAAAGTTGAAACGTAAAGAAGACTTTATGAGTCTTGTTTACTCAAGAACTGATAGCATTTTAACTAATCTAAAAACAAACAAGGGAACGATCCAAGCCCACCGCTAGCCGATATTGTCTTCTTTGGGTTTTCCCTTATGAGCTTGTTCCGCTAGCAGATGTTATCCTCTTTAGGCTTTCCCTTCTGGACTTCCTCTCAAGGTTTTAAAACGCGTGTATAAGGGAGAGGTTTCCACGCCCTTATAAATAATGTTTCGTTCTCCTCCCCAATCGATGTGGGACCCCCCAATCCACCGACTTTCGGGGCCCAGCGTCCTAGCTGGCACACCGCCTCGTGTCCACCCCCCATCGAGGCTCAACCTTCTCGCTTGCACATCACCCGGTGTCTGGCTCTAATACCATTTGTAACAGCTCAAGCCCACCGTTTCGGCCCGTTACATATCGCTGTCAAACTCATGGTCTTAAAAATTGTCTACAAGGGAGAGATTTCTATACTCTTATAAAGAATGTTTTGTTCCCCTCCCCAACCGAGGTGGGATCTTACAACTTACCAAAACAACTCCATAAAGAGAATATTTCCTTTTTTCACCTTCAAAGGGTTTAAGACTGAGAATAAAGAAAAGGACAAATTCACCTAGAGATTAAAAAAAAGGCACAAAGGAAGAGTTTTATATAAGAAAGCAAGCAAGGATTCAAGTGTATAAAAGCTAACAACACCAATTAAGGCAAAAACAATCAAGATCAAGAACCGTTAAAAGTGTTGAAATCCCACCAATAAAAGAGGTTCTCACTTTAAACTAAGTGTATGAGATCCGAAATCATTATAATATAAGGGTGTGAAAACCTCTCCCTAGTAGACACGTGTTAAAACCGTGAGACTAACAGCAATACATAACAAGCCAAAGTAGACAATATCTACTCGTAATGGAACAGTATCAAAGTTCCGTAGTCCCTATTTTACCATCCACAGTCCAAACAAGTCGTACAAACAACCTAGTACATGTTACTCAACGTTGAAGGCATCCCAAGAGGAGAAAAGAAAGCCATGACAGAAAGGGATCAAAATAGCTTACCACAGGGTCAGGGGCATCCTCTTGCTTGCACATCACCCATGGCACTCCAGTGTCAAGACCCACCGCCATTTGAGCTGCCCATTTGGTGTAAGACTTACCAGGGGCGCCTATTTCCCACTCCACTGGTCCATATTCATTCTCAATCTGCACCCCCAAAGCATTAAAACCCAGTTTTGAATCCAATAAAAGCCTCATATTATATGTTCATTGGATGTTACCTGAGACAGAATAATGGGTCCTCCCTGGCTATGATATAGCCTCTCCCCCTTCATCATACTAACAATCTTCGCAGTGAATTTTTGCATAGCGGCCTTTATTAAACACAATTAAATCAATAACTTCAAGAGTTCATCAAATCATTAGCTTCAAAATGACTATTTCAGAATGTTCCCTACCTTGAAAGGTCCATTGTCTGTCCTAAAAGCAATCCCAGGAACATACTTTAACCAAACAGGAAATCCACTGAATCATTGAAGTAAAAGTAAAATAATCAGAACAGAGCCACATGAACAAAATGATTAACAACATCCATTTTAATCGTTTTACCCAAAATTCCATTCTGCACAAACAAATGGACCAATCCGTAGATGAACATACAAGCCAGCTTGTTGAACAAGCTTCACAAATCTCACCAAATCATATCTATCCTCGAAATAATACTGAAAATTTGAAGAACAAAGCACCAAATGAATCAGTATAATCCAAACCCAGAAGAACCCATATGGCAAAAACAAATTTCTTCCCCATTTACCTGTCCAGGGGAAGGCTCATGGCCATTCCAGAACACATATGTCTCAATAACATCTAATCCTCCATTTTTGGCCTTCTGTATAAGGTCCGGCCACATCTAAAACCACAGCAAAGGGGGGGAGATAATTAAAGAGGGAAATAGAAATAAACCCGTGAATCGCATTGGACGTATTCGAACCTGAGGAGTGCTTCTTGGATAATGAATAGACCCAGAAATCAGTATTCTCCTCCGACCATCGATGACTATGGCTTTGTGGTCATAAGTCACAGACGCCATTCCAGATGAACAAACCCACAAAAACAAGAACAGCGCCGTAATCTTTGGCATTTTGAACATTTTGGCACTCCTAAACGCCAATCTGTGATAACATATAAGAGGCTCTGTTTTCTTTTGTTTTGGATTGATTCTTTTGAAGAAGAAAACAGAGAGAAACAGAAAGGGGAATGGAAATGCAAGGATTTAGATGGAACATTGAGGATTTGGGGGGCAAGGGAGAGCTGCTTTTTAAGCATTCGAAGCATGAATGGTGGGGGCCATTTTCAGTGTCTTTTTTGAGGAAATGCTTCAACCTCCGCCATTTTTCAAGCTACCCTTGTGCTAATTGGCATGTTTTACAAGTAATTCTACTGGGTTTTAAATTCTTGGTTAAATGAAATAATTATAGCGCCTTGAAAAGTGTATTATTTAAGAGTACATTGATTATGATCGTTTCACATGAATGTGTTCTGTTAACAGTTCTGGACTCGTGGCTGCTCGAAATAAAATAATATGAATTTTTGAGGATTATTTATAATTTTAATTTTAATTTTTTAATAAAAATTATTATTAAAAATAATTCTAATTCAACCCGTTAAAATATTATATATTTTACATTCACGCATCTCCCAATTATGATCGAGAAACAAAAATATAATATTGTGCTAACAAATTAAAGGTTATACTCACAAATTTAGCCTCAAAATTTAAATTTATTTTATCTTTAAATTGAAAAAAAAAACTTTTAATTCATAAGTTTTTAATTTTATATTTAATATTTTTCCGTTAAATTTAAAAATTTTAAAATTTAATGGATTTATTTATATTTACTGGATCCCTAAATTAATCACACACAAAAAAATTATATACTTTTTTCCCAAACAAAAATTCAATATTGCTGTAGAAATTAAAGCTTACATTGTGTCCTAATTGAATAATTAATTATAAATTTAGTCTCTAAATTTTAAGATTTAAGTTTAATTTATATTTAAATTAGAAATAAAAAAACTTTTAATTCATAAGTTTTAAATTTTATATTTAATAGTTTTCCGTTAAATTTGAAATTTTAAAAATTTAATTGATTTATTCATATTTAATAGATCCTCAATTTTCATTTGTATCTAGCGGATTCATAAATGTAAAAAAATAATAATAATAATAATAATAATTTAATGATTCAATTTTTAATTTTTAAAATTTAAGTAATTATATTCATTTTATAATAAACGGTTTTTAAAAATGGCTTGTTTAAAAAAAAGTAAAATAAATATAATTGCTAATGGATAGGATTAAAATTATTTTTTTAGTGTTAAATAAAGGGAATGTTCCTTTAGTGAATAAATTAAATTACTTTATTGGAGAATAAAACAGTTTAAAAGAATAAAAAAAATTAATCAATTTCCACCAGAAAAAACAAGATTTGACAACATTAATCAAAATATTAATTATTTAGTCGAGACATCAAATTAATTTACTTTTAAATTGTATATCTTATTTTGATACCTATTTAAATTATACTTTAATATATATTTCAATATTTTAATTACGTTTAAATCAAATCTTAATTCATATTTATATCAAATCATTTGACATTTAATCTAAAAAGTTAAAAATTATATCTTTACGCAATTTTAAATTTATATTTAATTTACAATTTAATTTTCATTTTAAAATTAATTTTTTGAAATTGAACGAAAATTTAATACTTCGAATTTGTTATAAGATAAGAGGAAGATGAGCATCACAAAAATTTGTGGATAAGCCAAGTTGCCACATCGTAAGCACGACCTTATGACGTGGCAGCTTTGACTATAAGTTTATCAAGTTCAATTAGAACTCATGAAGCACACACGTGGCATTCGTTAATTGGCCCAATAAATTTTAAATTTAATAATGGAATGTTAATTTTTATGAGAATTGATTTGAATATGTTTCAAAAATTTATAAAAAAAAAAAAAGTTGAATATATTTTTTTAATATAAAAAATCGACCCTAAATTAATAATTTAAATATAAATAATATATTTAAAACCATAAATAATCATGAAATGATAAATATATTCCTTGAAGCATAATTTTGGAATTATGAGGAGAATAATAATTATAAAGAAGAAAATTATTATATCTATTGGGTGGGAATTAAATAATTAATTTGGTGAAGATTTTTTATTTGTCAACATGAAATAAGTCGAGTGGGTATTTTCCATTATGACGGTTGTTATGGATTTTTTTTTTTTAATAAATTAAATCAATAAAAAAATATATTATATAAGTGTGAAATTGTTGATTATTCATCGATTTCCAATTAACGACCTAATTAAATAGGGCAATTAAAACACATAAATTAGGGATGACTTGGAAGCATAATAAATTGGGGAAATAATTAAATAAAAAAAAAGAAATTGGAATCAATGAACATAATTAGTCAAAATTAGTTGAGCACTAATTTAATGCCAATAATATTTGTTAATTTCTCTTTGTACACACGGTCCTCATGCACGTTTTGCATATATACCTAACGCCTTTCGTCGATATTAATGAAATATTTTAACGCCTTTCGTCGATATTAATGAAATATGGTCGGAAGAGAAGCAGATTCTCTGTTTATACGAAAAATGGGAAATATTTTTTTAATAAATTGGATAGGGGATGAGATTATATTTCTCATTTTCGTCTGTACCTATTTGATATAAATATATATTTGAACACATATATTTTTTTTACTGCACTAACAAATAAATTAGTTAATTTTAAGATTCTAATTTGTGTTATATAATTTAGATAATATGATTAACTCAAATTACTCAACTCATCCGGTCTGTGGGTTTGACATTTTTTTAGTTGGATCAAACCGACCAACTCGAAAATAGAGTTACAATCTAACTCAACTCTATCGTACTTTTAAAGGAATTAATAATATTTAATATTTATAACTGAGGTTAGTGATGCACGGGACTTTTTAATGCTTACTATTTGAATTTTATATATGGTGAATAAACATAATTTCTTAAAAATAATTAAAAAGACAACTCGATAACTCAACCCAACCCAACAGTTACTCGGTTGAGTTACTCGAGTCACCAACTCAACAAACTAAGATTTCAGATTAGTGCAAATGATTTTTCCAACCCAATTGAGACTTCGATTCATTGACTCGGTTGGTAAAAAAAATTGTTGTCTAATTATTTTGTGTTTTTTTTTTTTTTTTTTTTTTTTAAA